ACCTATGTAGCTATTCTTCTGCAGTTATGGAAGCCAGTTTTTGGTCTGCCAGTTTAATGTGTCATCCATCTTAAATGTGGTATTGTTTTGAGCAGCCCAATTTTTTTACGGTGGCCCATATTAACTCAATTGTGTTGAGTTCTGGGTAATACGGAGGGAGTTGTAAAATATTGTGATGGTGTTCTGCAAAGATACCATCTATTTTATAGGAAAGGTATTTCGGTTTGAGCGGTAGGATCATATTACGAGATATGTCTGGATTCCGCAATGATGAAGAATCACTGTTATGAAAGGTAATAGTTGGAAGGTGATATTTTAGCCAGGATATCATAAAATATCTTCTTGAATTTGAGTTAGGGGCTTTGTTTAGTTGTACATTATGATAGGGAGCACTGTTATGGAAGGTAATAGGTGGAAGGTGATATTTTAGCCAGGATATCATAAAATATCTTCTTGAATTTGAGTTAGGTTCTCTGTTTAGTTGCACATTATGATAGGGAGCATTATCAATGACAAGGACAGAATTTGGGGGAAGGTTAGAAATATGTAGCTCCTTTAACCATTTCTCATAATTGGTGTAGTTCATGTCACTGCGGTAATTTTCTTTAATGTGGAGATGCATCCCTGAAAATCTAACGTTTTCTTAAACTTTTCGTGAACTATTTTCAGGGTAGGTCTCCGTTTTTCGACTATGTAGATATCGTTAATTGTTCTTCGCACCACAGACTCGTTAAAGTCCAAAGTGGCTAGTGGAGATTTCATAGGTCTTACTTTATGGGGTGTCGAAAGGGAAGTGGAAGCCCCAGAATCGATATTTTTTGTTTCTCTTATTATTCTTCTGTGAGGGGGTTTGAGTATGCCAAGGACCCTGAGAGCTATACCAGCGGTAGCGTAGTTACTGGCAGGGCCTCCCTTGCTGGACAGGTCAAAGGGTAGGCATCAGACGAAGAGAGACACCAAAAACTGATGCCGGAAGCAGCGTCATCAGTAGCGACTTGAAGCACAGAGCAAATGATGCTCGAGATGGTTCAAGTTCGTATAGCAGCAGGCGTGACCAGAGTGGTTTGAACGGCTGCTGTACTGCGATGTGGAAAGCAAATGGAAAAACTACCACATTATCACTTTTCCTGGATAGTCTCTTTCCAAAAACAGAGATACCATATATGCGAGATGTTTCCTCTGGAGG